AAGTACCCTGTAGTTGTAGATTAATTTCTCTCAAGATAAAATGGATTAAACATTAAAAAAGTAGTGGTACCTCAAACTTCGATAATTTTAACAAACTCAAAAATGCAGCAATGAGATCACACACAGACTTGGTCGATCGACAATTTTATTTGTAAGAAGAGAAAATTTTCATATGTCTACCTTTTTTACTTTATTGCGTGTACAAGTTTTTTTCCAGTACAAATATTTTGTTGCCGTGAAAAGCAAGAAGCACGATTTTAGATAGAAGAATTGAAATTTTCAAATTTTAAAATCAATTTATGTTGAGAAATTTAAGGAGAAAATAATGTAAAGGATTATAAAAAAAGAGAAGGAATCATTTTTATATATGAAAAGGGACGACGTACACGCTTATACAAATAGAAAAAGTCGGATTGTAACCGAGATTTGGTGGCGAATGGTAGCTAAAATAAATTATAGCTATGATGATTAATTAACTAGTATAAGTTTACTTAACCGCGTAATTTTCCCATATAGTAATGAATTGTGAAGCTATGATAACTAATTAACTAGTATAAGTTTGTTTAACCGCGTAATTTCCCCATATAATAATGGATTGTATTTGTTATACCACTTTCTCTGAGTCCCGTTTGCTCCAAAATCAAATTTTAAAAGGAAATACTTGTACAAGGTAAATTATTACTCGATAGATAATTTATTTTCTTATGTTATCTTTTCTATTAAACACTATTTAATATTTAATACATTTTTCAAAGCTTAAATTTAACATATATTCAAAGGGTAATATAGTAATATTATCTTTATTATTTATTGTTTCTTAAGATGTGTGTCAAATTAATAGTGGACAATTATTATTGGACATAAGAATAATACACGTAATAAATTAGATTTTAGTTGATTTTTAAAATTATTAAATATAAGAAACATAGTAAATTACAATTTTATCTATGGTAGATTCTTTTAATAAAGGGTAAAAAATTGGGGAAACTATATAAATAGGCCATAAAATTCAAAATATTACAAGTTCATACCCTAACCTAAAGTAATTCCTAAAATGTTCATTCTCTCATAAACAATTACAGATCATACACATTCATTAACGCTTATAATTTTCGCTTAACTGATACTAAATCAACATATAGTGTATTGATATCATTAAGACTAATAATTTTCGCTTAATTGATACTAAATCAGTATCATATATTGTATTGGTATCATTAAAGCTGATAATTTTGCTTAACTGATACTAAATCATTAAACTTTCTGTTCAAAAATTACTCATTAGTAATGATACTATAAGAGTATATGTAATTAGGTTAAGTAATTTGATTTTCTCCTCTTATCATATTTGTATAACTTGATAGTGTGTGTATATATCCAATAATGTTAGTGAAAAATTACAAAATAATAGATTTACAAAATCACAATTGAAAAATAAAATGAAAAAATAAAAATCTCTTCAGGCTGAGACGCAGATATCTCGCTCTCTTTAAGGAGATTCAAGCGCACTACAACAAATGTTTTCACCGGTCCAGCAGTAGTCCTTCTTGACTCTTGTCCCCTCCTGAATACAACAACCTTAACACATAGTATAACTCAACAACGTTGGACAAGAGTTGAGTCCAAATTAAGCTCCACAAAAAGAACACCTCCCTTCAACTAATAAGAACTCTCTTTTTTAACTAACTTTTTCCTCTTTATATTTTTCTTGTATCTCTTAACCAAATGAAGGTCACCACTATTTATAGTTGAGAAAGTCTACCTAGCAATGAATAGGAAGATAATGGGGTAGTAAATAGTGAAGATAAATGACCTAGAAGTTACATATGTTAGAAAGAATAATGGAAGAAAAATTAAGAAGTAATGGTCATAGTTGACCACTACACACGTTCTGCTAGAAAGCCCCAACAGACAACAAAAATTCCCAACGTTCACATCAAACGTAATAAGCAATGAAGTGTGACAATTAAGCCAAATTCAACGGCTAAAGGAGTAATGCACCATGCTGAGTAATTATGCTATAATGGTCTAATTTCTAACAGGTATGAAACCATGGAATTGGAGAAAGCAACTTCAACATAATTTTAAGAATATTAAAATAGTCCTAAAACCAACAATTTAAAATATTAAAATGCTCCTAAAACCAACAAATAAAAATGTATGTTGATAGTTATGAGAGATAGGATGGCAAATCCTTAGATTTGAAATGGATTTCATTTCAGTGTTTGTAAGATCACTCAGAGATGCAGATGGAGTTGGTACTCCTTTCTCTACAAAATCTGGTTGCCTCTTGCTCTCATTCTAAGCATAGCTTGTGTATATGATGGAATCATGGAAAAATGATAGCCTAGTTAATTTGCATAAAATCAACTTCATTTGGACCATTTCTCCATAAATGTCTTTACACTACAAATACAATTTAAGTTACTATAGCAAATTGTTTGTCTTACATACTTCTCGTAATTCCATTCAATATCATGTGCAGCTTCTACTATATATTTTCTGAAACTTAGGCCAAGTGTTTAAATTGTTGCGAAGACGTAAAAAAAATGTTTAACCAAACCTAATTACTTCATTATTTGTACATATAAGCCCAAACACAAACCCATATTACACGAACAACAGTAATTCTTCGACTAACTGACTACTACTCCAAAAAAAATAAAGAGGCAGCGCAGTATAGCACAATACAGAGATTAGGATTGTTGTTGACTCCTTTCATTCATCCGGGCAGCTACAGTCACAGAAGCAGCTACTCCACCAGGAGTGGTGGACATGTCTTGTTTGTTCCGTAGCTCCGCTCCTACCACTCCTTCTGCATCCTGCCTCGTGCTGACTTATCCGCGGGCAACACCTTAGTAACACCCTGCGTAAGTTTAAATTAACTTCAAGTTGAATCTATCTACTATATCGAGTCTCAATTTATGTGGGACATGTTGTTCTTGAGGGTGATACTTCTCTTGAGTGTTAGCCTTTGCAAAAGTTCTTGAGAGTTTTCAAGTTGCAAAAACTAAGGTTGTGCCTATTGAATATATCCTATATGAAGATTAGACGCAATCTTCGAGGCCATACCATTGGTGGCCGAGGTTTCTGCCACAATTGGAGACTGTGCACCAACTAATTGTACTTTTTACAGCCTGGCATTTGTGTGATATTGACACCAGAATCAAGTCCCTTTACAAGGTCCCATAGTTTTGTCAAATTTTCAAAACTGCAAATAACAATTTCCCCCTTTTGGATGATAATAAACTCCACACAAATGCCTTCATTTCTATTTCCCCTGTCAATCAGACCCTTATTCATTCCCCCTATCAATTAGACCTTCCGCCAATCTAAGTAACCAACATTTTAATTTTTCTCCCTTTTGGCATCATAAAAAAAGAGTGCAGTAAACCAGCAAAACAAGTAGGATTGCTAAGTAAGATCATAGCCAAGGGCAACACCAACATGGTTATAAAAACAGGATTAGACAGAAACCAGTCACAACAAATTAGGAATCAACTTCATTGCACAAAAATCAGCAGCCAATACATTAAATTTAAACTTACATAGAGAACCCTGGACACTGTCAACACGAAGGAAAGACACATGAAGGGACGGAGAAGGACTATGAAGAAGGAGGCTGATGGGAGAGGGACTTAATAACAAGAGTAAGCTTAGCATTTGCTTCATCATTATCCTTGATCAATTTCTCTTGTAAGGCAACATTTTGAGCCAGGAGCGCATCATTGTTCTTCCTCAGCTTGTTGACCTCTGCAGTACTAGGTCCCTCAGACTACGCTTTGAGTAACTCAACCTTCAATAGGGCAATCTCCACATCTTTGTTACTCACACGCACAATCATCTCCTCTAGCTCGTGCTTCAACTGATCTTGTTCAATTTTCAACTGAGATATCTTGCTCAGTGGACCAGTCTTTCCTTCAATGCACTCACATTCCACCAGAGTAGTCAGAGAGAAAGATTGCTTGGCAGTTCCAATTTTACCCTTTCCTACTGGAATGTTCAGATGTTGGAACACCTTAGTCAAGAAATAGCCATAACCCATGTCATGCTTACCTTTGTGTTCAATCACCGATTTGTACATATGCTTCCATCATTAGGGCTGGAAGGTCTATGGGTTCGAACTTGCACGGTGATTCCATGATGAAACGATCAGTTGCAGAAGCGACTGCCCGCTTTTCGTTCCGAGGAAGAAGCACTTTGTTGACAAACTCAAACAACAATTGGTACTCTCATTTCATGAGTTTCTTTTGAACCCCCACGACGCATGTCAGGGAACTCCTTGGTGCAAGATTTTCTGACTACAGACTTGATCCTTTCTCTGGGTACTTCTAGTATTTGTCCCAGCAGTTCCTCATTCAGATGTAAACTTTTGTCTCCTACCATGGTGTTGAGGCTACCATCCTCTGTGTGTTGAGGCTACCATCCTCTGCAAATTCTACATTATTTCTCTAGGTACGTCTAGTATTTGTCCAAGCAGTTCCTCATCCAGATGTAAACCTCATCCAGATGTAAACTTTTGTCTCCTACTATGGTGTTGAGGCTACCATCCTCTGCACATTTTACGTTCTACTATGGTGTTGAGGCTACCATCCTCTCCAAATTTTACATTATAATAGAACTCTCGAACAGACAGGAGATTTGATCTTGAACAAGTGAGTCCACAACTGAATCTCCACGAGATCATATAGAGAATCCACTATAGCAAATTGTTTGTCTTACATACTTCTCATAATTCCATTCAATATCATGTGCAGCTTCTACTATTATATGAAACTTAGGCCAAATTTTATGTCTTCTTTTTAAATTGTTGCGAAGACGTAAAAAAATGTTTACCAAACCTATTACTTCATCCTTATTTGTACATATAAGCCCAAACACAAACAACAGTAATTCATTAACCATATAGTAACCGCACCGGCTTGAAAAACAAGTAATTTGCATACAATACTTCTTCGACTATAATAACTGACTACTACTACTACTAAGCACAACACAGATTAGGTTTGTTGTTGACTCCTTTCATTCATCCGGGCAGCTACAGTCACAGAAGCAGCTACTCCACCAGGAGTGGTGGACATGTCGTGTTTGTTCCGTAGCTCCGCCCCTACCACTCCTTCTGCATCCTGCCTCGTCGCTGCCTTATCTGCCGGCAATACCTTAGTAGCACCCTGCGCAAGTTTAAATTAGCTTCAAGTTGAGTCTATCTACTATATCGAGTCTCAATTTATGTGGGACAATTCGAATATATCAATGGCACAACACTGGAATATCGAAATACAAACTTCTCACAGTAAAATTCATACGACATATATAATTTGTTACTAACCGATAAGACATCTCCAAGCTTAACTTTGTCCTCGTCTTTTATCATAGATTCATTATAGGCAGCAGCCGACTGAGCAGTGGCTGCTACGCCACCAGGAGTGATAACATTGCTGCCTGTTGCGCGTATTTCAGCTGCTTGGATTGCTGCTGCATCGCATTGATCCACTGGTTTGCCCGGTATTGTTTGTCCAGCCGCTTCAAGAGCTTCTCCTATTGTGATTTCTCTAGTACTGCCTCGACTACCACCACCACCACCACCTCCTCCGGTGGTTGCTGCTCCTTGTGGCTGTCCTCCGCTACCTCCTGTTGGCTGAATGTATTGTCCAACTACCTTTATGTCATCAACCATACATAAAATTAGCCGCTAATTAACAAATATAGGAGCTAGCTGACCTTTCAATTGGTGAAGTGCCAAAATGTTGGCAGTGACGGATTCAGGATTCGAAAAATAAAACATAGTGCATGAAATTTGAACTTAAACTTATAGATGAGTTTTGAATTCCCTATCCCACTAATTAAGTCGACCTCCAATCTTCTGTTTAGGTGAAACATTTGGAACTACGGTGGTCGTAATTTGGCCATTTTCATCATTTTATTTTGACGAAAAATAAGTGATATTTTACTAATCAAATTGGTAATTAATAATGAGACAACTTTACCTGTCCAGCAACTGATTCAGTAATAATATTAGCTCCAGGAACCGCCGTCCCAGTAACCGTAACACCCTCTCTAGCCGCAACATCAGTAACATCACCCGGTTGAACCAAACCGGCGCTCACGTTAACATTAGCGGCTGATTGCATGGTAGCCGCTGGACCGCTCTTTTGCGTTTTCCCGAGCACGGCGGTCTCAGCGCTCTGCATCATGGCTGCATCTTCCGGCTTAACAGCTTTTTCTCCTAGCTCTCCAGAAACAGCAAAAATGTCGCCGTATTTGATCGGATCGGCTGCTTGATCACCTTGTTCCCTTCTTGGTTGTTGTTGACTCATTTTTTGTTAAAATTAAAACACTTGGAAATTATTAAAAGTAGATGTAGGATATGGCTAGCTAGCTCGAGCTAGAGGAAAAAATGATTTATATGAATGTGTATGGAAGAAGATTGAGGGATTGTTTGGATGGAGATGAGGGATTTTGGGACAAGTGGCTATTTGAAGTAATGTGGTGGCGTTAAACTATAGATATGGCAGGCCACTTGTCAAACTACTACTACTACTACCTTGAATAATGGTGGGTGTTGTGAATTAAGATAACTTTGTAAGGGTATATAAGTTAGACGTGGTAAATAAGACATATTCAGTTTATATTATTAGGTTGAGAAAAATATTGAACAGTTTTATTTTGGATCCAAGCTTAATTAGCTATTGTTAAAATTAAAAGGTTAGGTATTAAAAAAATAGTTATGTAAATTATGTTGAAACTTTGTCTATCACCTTAATTAGTGTGTTATTACTTTGTTATGCATATTCTACGTTATAACTATATATATAATAGTGCTTGTGTTGGTAATCAAGTTTGTTACCGTGGAAGTGTTTGTAACTATTAAGCGCGGAGCTATATATATGGACAATTCAATCGAATTTAATAAAATTTGTTTGCTACATGGGCAATTTGATCGAATTTAATAAAGTTTGTTTGAATGGTATGTTTATATAACAAATTTATTAAATATATATAATTATTTAAAATTAAAATTCAATATTATCACTTAAAATTATTATTAGAAAATTTGATACTCATAAAATTAAATTTTTATTATTATAGTTCGTTATCCACTGCGGGCACTTGTATATTTTCTTCTATTATTCGCCTCAAGTTCATAGCAAACCAGTTACTGATAATGTTTATATCGACAATGATCTGATTATGTCTCTGTTTGGTTGGAAGCTAATAGTCGAAACTTTCTTCTTGAATATGGTTAATTTGAACCCTAATTTGCACCATACAACTAGAATAACGTGACACCAGGTGTATTTGGTATGAAGGAAACATTTTGTAATTAAGTCTTATAATAATTGGTGTTTTGCTAGTATGATCAAACTTTAAACCAGCTATTTCAAAGCAAAAGCCAATAGTGTAATAAGAGGTTTTTTTTTACCCTCATCTAGGAGCTCCCACCCTTTTGATCCTTTGGTGACTCGAACTCGCAACCTTCAGATTGAAAGTGAGGGGTGCTTATCATCCGAACAACTCCCTCTCATCAATCAATAGTGTAATAAGAGTTAAGTTGTGACTTGCAAATTAGTATACGCACTTCCTTTTTCGTATTGAGGATTATATTATTTATTTGCATACCCTAATTTAATTTACACAAGTAGGGGACCTTTACAGAACCTGATTAACGACTAATTACAAAGTACCAAAACAAGAAAAGGAACAAGCTAATTAACGAGGAAAATATTAGTAATATTATACACATTGTGAGCCAAGCTTAATTATGAACTTCTTTCATTTAGTCTTGCAGCTGCAGCCACAGATGCAGCTACTCCGCCAGGATAAGCTGTCAGGCTTTGATTATTCCGTAACTCCGCCTCCATCACCCCTTGTGCATCTTGCCTTGTCGCTGCCTTATCTGCCGGTAATTTTGCAGCCGCACCCTATAAATGTTTGATTCCAGTATGTTTAAGATCACAAAATTTAAACGAATTTAATTGTATATATAAATGAAAAATCAATGATAATGAAATTGCTAGTCTCTTAAAGAGTCGTACAGTTAAGACATCGTTTAATTTGATTTTATCAACATCTTGAGCCAATCCTTCATTAGCCGATGCTGCTGATTGAGCTGTGGCAGCTAATCCTCCAGGGGTTACAACACTAGAACCGGTGGCTCTAGCTTCAGCCGCTTGTATTGCGGCTGCATCGCTCTGTTCCACCGGTTTCTCCCCTGCTGTAAGGGCTGTTGCTGCCAAAGCTTCTCCTATTGTTATAGGCGCTTCCTCCACATCTCCCTCTGTTGCTGCTGCTGCTGTTACTGGAAGAGGCTCAACATATCGCCCCAATACCTACAATTATCATTTAATTGTCTCACCTGACATCTACGTTGCACACATAGACACTTAAATTTTTATAAAATTAATAAGCGTCTTAAAGTCACCTGTCCGGCAACTGATTCGGTAATTATACGTCTACCGGGGAGTTTGGTTTCAGCAACAGTAACACCTTCATCACCAACAAGTTGAGTGGTATCTTCATGACTAACATGCCCACTTCTTTCGTTTTTGGCAGCAGCAGCCTGCATTACAGAGGCAGGACCACCCTTTTGGTTTTTCCCAAATACCATGGCTTCAACACTTTGCATCATGGCTGCATCTTGCGGTGCAATTGGTTGATCAGCTAACTCACCTTTTACATTAAAAAAGTCGCCGTATTTTAGGGGCTGCTCTGTTTCAGGCCTTTGAAGTTGTTGTTGGCTCATTTTTTTCTTGTTATATATATATATATATATATATATGTATGTATGCTTTACAAAAAAGGGGTTATATATTTGGATTATTTTCTTCTAGGAAAGTTGTTTTTGTGTTGGAGATGCTCGAGGGATGACACGTGGCAACTCTGTGCAAACGTGGCGGACTACTTGGAAGCAGGAATGGTGACTCAGATTGGCAACTTTGAAATGTTCTTGAATAGTCAAGATAACTAAATGAAACGTGCAACTTTAGCCTTGATTGATCGTGATAAACAAAGCCCACTAATTTCAGTTATTTTTCCCCGATCGATCAGAAGCCCACTAATTTCAGTTATTTTTCCCCGATCGATCAGAAGCATCCAACAGCACCACACCAGTAAAAAATAAAATGTTGAGCTATCGTTAGGGAAACTTTGGCATAAGCGATTTTTCGCTTCTAGGCATCACAATAGCTCCCTTTTCTTTCCAATTCCATTCTTTTTGTTCTACTTAAATGGAGCAATCAGACAGAAAATCAAGAGCAGAATTCAGATTTTCAGCTCCCTTCATGTTTCTTAATAATCATAATCACTGCTTAATATCTATCAGTTTCTTGTTGATAAGGTTAACAATATAATCATGGCTATTGAAGTACAACAGTATACATCTATCTCAGTGGCAATTACTACTATTAACAACTAACTCCACTAGTATTGTCTTATTGAGAGATCAATCTACATACATACAGACAGTCCTTATGCTATCAATTTGGCAACAATCAGAGTACAAGCTACTTGGAGGCAATTGCAAGGAGACAGCATAACTAAACGACACAATATTTCATACCAATAACAAATTTACACAAGGTCATCATCCGAGCTAATGTTTTCCGAGACCTGTGGGTTTATTATACTCAAAACTTACGGCTAACAGGTATGCGGGACACCAAGAGTTTAATCGCTGTTCAGGAGGCAGGAGCCCCATTGCTTACCTCCAAACCATTTCCTGCAGATTGAGAACCATATGTTATTGAATTGAAAACTTTACCTAATCAAGTGCAGAACTGAAAAGAATTTGATACACTAGCATCGACATCAGGTTAAGAGATTCAAATTTAAGAGTGTAAAGAACATCGATTTTCTCATGTGTTCTTGCCTTCGGAGGTTGAGTATAGTCATCCAATTTCATAAACTTCAAAACACTATCACTTCGGAATCAATATGATATATAAACATAAAACGGAAATCGCACCATCTGGATCAAAGAAAAAGGCTTGTTTGGTCTTGCCATCTGGTTGAGTCCACTCCTGAACTTCAATTCCTTTCTCCTACATGACAAAGTTCAGAGAAAAGCAGTGATCGGCAGATCTATTAGTCATGGATAACCCAGAATTGAGAAAGAAACGAGACTAAACTTCCATCACTAAAGAACTAAAGAAGTTCTTGAACATTCGACACTGGTCTACAATTCATGCATTAACATTATCTAAAACAAATACAGCTATAACTCTGCAAAAGAACAATTAGCAGTATCACATTATTTTAACCAATTTTCAATTGCTTCACTTCACCTCCTATTAAAATGAAGCTAATGCTTTTGTCTTAAATACTCAATAGTCAATACAAATAGAACAAGAAAACACATGCTGCAATACTGCAGTCCCCTTGAGAAAACTCAAAGATGCAACAATTAACCAACATCTCTTCCTATCCTTCACATACTCATTCAAAGGAATCTCGTTTACACAACTTTATTTTCAAATTGTCGTTACAAGAATTAACATCATCTAGAAAGGTAAAAGGGAAGTAATGGATAAAAAGATCCCAAAAATCATCAAATTAAAGATGATACCAACACTTTGACATCAGGGCAAAAGAGCAACTCGGTGAACTAAGCTCCCACTATACGCCCGGTATTAGGGGAAGGGCTGGACCACAAGGGTCTATTGTACGCAGCCTTACCTTGTGTCTTTACAAGAGGTTGTTTCCACAACTTGAACCATTAACCTCCACGTCACATAGAAACAACTTTACCAGATACGTCAAGACTCTCATTCAACACTTAGACATCACTTTGTTAGGACCGAAATAAGCAGGTGTAATGCGGAAACTAGCAAAGCAAACCTCGAAAGACCATGAGTAAGAAGACAAACGAGAAATATACCAAAAGAGACAGATTTAACGTGGTTCGGTCAATCGACCTACGTCCACAAAGGAGATGAGCAATCCACTATAAATATGAGAGTACAAAATATGGAGAGAAACAACCTCAAACAATTCACTCTGAATACAAGGAGGTACACAAAACTCTCCCCCATAACCGCAACTCTCAAAACCCTAGGACTACATTGTGAATGTTAATTAAGTTAGAAGGAACAAGCCTATATTTATAGAGTCCTAAACCTTTCCTACAAGGACTAGTAAAATATTAAAACTTTTTCCTAAAAGGAAAACCTATTTATGGTAAGAAATCAGGGCAAATAAACCCCAACACACTTTAACATAATCATCAGGAAATACGAAAAATCTAGTACTCAATAATCCAATTCTTGAAACTAAAATTTCTTTTAATCATAGTAATCAATTAATTTAGGGTAATCTTAAACATAATTGAAATTGAAAACAGCAACAGATCTTCCATAATACTTAAATCAAATTGCAAAAAAAAACATTAACCACATAAAACTTTCAAACGAAATTGAAAGAGGATAAAATAGAGATCAACCTTGAGTTTCTGAACAAAAGAATCGAAATTGGAGATGGTGAAGCAGACATGGTGACCTCTGGGCAGATTCTTCGGGTCGGCGACGGCTGACGTGGCACTCCATGGACCTTCGGGAAGCTTCGTAGTCGGATCTCTCTCGATAAGGTGAAGATAGAAAGCTGGTGCCAGCTTCAACCATATCACATCAAATTCAAATCTTGGAGCTTCAACTTTCTCAAACTCAAATATCTGCAAACCCATTTTCATCAAACAATCAATTTTACTCTAATTTAAACAGAAAAATCATAACCCTGATGTGATTTATGAAACTTAAGTAACGAAAGTTAATGCATTATCAAAACCTCAATGTAAAATTGGGCTAGGCGATTGATATCAGAGGATTCTCGGGAGACGTGATTAAGGCATGTTCCTTGTGCTGCCATTTTTCTTCTTTGTTTGTGTTTAGAGAATTCAAGTATGTTGCTAACTTGCTATAGTAAGAGGGAGAGTTGACCTACTCATTTAAATGGATATTTATTTGGGAAAACTACCTTACATATCCTTTCAAATAATTAAGTATTTTATAATTAATTAAGTGTTTTCATCATATATTAATATAGATATATCTAAATACATATATTTTTATTATGAGAATACACTAAAATAAAGAGAGACGCAAGTGAGATAGAAAGGAAAGGGAAGGGAGATAGTCTTGTATCTCAAATACATGTGAATCACACTAAATATATATATTTGTAAGTATCTAGTATGATTCACATGTATTTGGGGTATCAGATGAATAGAAGAGTAGTGGGCGAGATGGAAGGGAGGTGAGGAGATTTGTCTATGTATCTCAAATATATGTTAATCCACTTGAGTACAATGTATTTAAAAGAAATTACACCTAATTTTGACATATTCCAAAATACATGTATCTGAACGTATGTGAATGTATCAAAATCTGATAAAATTCGTAATACTACAAATTAGTGTGTATACGCCTAAACTAGTAGCATTTCTACAAGGTAACCCTATTTGTTGGGTTTAATCAACATGTAGCGTAGGTTATAGCCGTCTGGCTCTTATTAAATGAGTTATTGGAGTCTCATACATGTTTGAGAAAAAATAATCAAAGTTACTTTCCATATCTATTATCTTTTATAAAAAAATTTTAAAATACTTTATCGGAATATATAAAATAATTAAGAACCTCATTAAATAAAAATAAATATTAGAAAAATCTCAATGGTTTTCTTTAATTTTGAACAATTACTTATTTTAAATTATGAAAAATATCTAACCAATTCAGTTAACATGAACGAGATGGAGTATTCCTAATTTTTCTAATAAAATGGAGTAGTAATATTTATATATTTATAGAATATAATCTTTACAAAAATTGGCATGAGTGAGAAGTTTTTGCACGGATCGATATTTAAATTTTACCCCTTTTTGTTCTGACCATTAATTTAATGAAAATTTATGAATTAAAATACTTTTTTTTTTGTAATTTAAATTTAATTTCCTAAGTATAGCTTAGAGATCCCTTTGTCTCTCTTAGCATAAATTCAATAGAAATTAAATTATGCAATATAAATTGTTTATTTTTTTTAGAATTTATTGTAATATTTAAAAATTAAATCTATGTGTTTTTGGACATATGTTCTTTATTTATCCTTCTTAGAAAAGAAGAAGAAGAAAAAGAAGAAGATACGTGTATTATTATTGTTTCTCAAATACATTACACCCTTCTAATACATAATAAATTATATTTTTTATAACATAACTTATGAATATTTTGATACGAATATATAAACTAGCTAAATTTGCTATTTTTCTGTTAAATGTTATCTTGTAAATTTTTGGGTACTTTTGTTCCTTTGTAGATAAATAGAACATTGTTTGCCTTGGAAAAGAATACTTTTTCTCCAACTTTCTGAAATGAAAAGTAAACGAATTTCATCCTAATTAATTTCACTTGCAAGACTTTTTGATCATATTTCCTTTTTTTTAAGTATACTAACTAATGTACTCATCTTATTTTATTGACATAATTTAACTAGGCACATAGATGAGGTGAATTTTTCATAATCAGATCATTTTTTATCAAAATATTGTGTATTATATAAGCATATCACTAAAATTTAAATTGTATTTATAAAATTTAGAGAGCTAGTATAATTTTTTAACTGACCAAAAAAGCAAAATTAGTTCTAAAAATAATTAATTGTTGTAATAAAATATTAATATAGAAAATAATTATTATAAATTTATAATCAGGTCAAATTGTATCAAAACGTTATATCATTATAAAAATATGTTCTAAAAGTCAAATTATAATTATTATTTCTAAACGAAGTAAAAAATAATACCGTCCACATAACTCAAATAAATTATTAGTATAATTTATGAGTTACTTGAACGAAGAGTTATTTGAAAATAGCATTTTTATCTTTTTAAGTGATGAGTTATTATTACTTATGAATTACTTGAACCGCGATAATTATTTGAAATAATATTTATATCTCGTTAAAATGTTACATAGATCATATCGAAAATAAAATCTCCATCTCTTTGAGGCTTGAAATAAAGATACACCCTATACTTCCAAGAGCCTATTAGAATTCCCATTATTCTTGCCCTATGAGTATTTTTCATTTCTTGAATTTCTCAAATTCTCTTAATGGAATCAATGGACCATTAAGCATCTCTTTATCACTAATCACTGACAGTTTGACAGAATTCATCAGTTCTACACACTTAAACCTCTTTAATCTTGATCATCCACTTTTCAACCTCAAAAGCCCTCTTCTCTTCATCTCTCTGCTGCTGCAGCAAAAACCCATTGTGGGTTTACTTCGATTTGGCCTAAAGTTCTAACTTTCAACAGTAAGTTTTTCTTTTGTTCTCTGTTTTGATTTGATTTTAGCCTTTGTGATACCCCTGCTGGTTAAGTGAGTGTTTATTTCGAAGTAAATTCAAGATTCACTTTTGTTTTTGGGCACATTTTAACAAAGATTAGAGATTTTAGTTAAGAAAAATGTAATCTTTTTTCATCTTTACCCCCATAAGATGAAAGAAAAAGAGATGGGGTTAGGTTGTTAAGGTCAAAACTTAGGAATGGAAGGTAGTAAGCCTCGGTAAGGTGCTGATGCATTGTATAAGTGATTTATTGTTTTTGAGTAGAACTCCATTTTAGAAATGTTAGTAATAATCATGCTCAAACCCATAATTGTTCCATTTTTGGTCATGAAGTGGGAAGAGAACCATGAGGTCTTAGGTTCGAATCCCAATTCCCAGGTGGCCAGACTTGTTCGGTATGTGTGTTAACGGGAGGTAACAGCTACTGGTTGAATGATCAAGGCGTGCGCAAGCTGGACTGGACAACATTGTCCAAAAAAAGTATCTTTCATTTCTGGTCATGTTGCTGAAAGTGCAAGACAGAGGGGGAAGTATTGTCCAAAAAATGATCTTTCATTTCTGGTCATGTTACTGAAAGTGCAAGACAGAGGGGGAAGTGCAGGACGGGGGTGGGTGGTGAATTGTTTTCTTTTTATTATCTTCGTCAACTATCTTAGAGATGAGTCGATTGACACTGAAGGAGATACTAAATATTAAATACCAACTATAAAGGTAATGACAGGAAGTAGAATGACACCAGATGTTTTTATACTTGTTGGGATCCAATGTAGATCTTAGTCCAGTCCCCTCGGGTTGCAAGGGTGTTCTCTGTAAGCACTTGAAGTTTGTCTTGTACAAGTCCTATGAAGTGTGATTCCCACGCTTTCACTCAATCTTTCTCACTCTTGATTGATACAATGTCTCACCAACACGGCTTTCCCTCTCCTCTTTTTGAATACACAGTTACTTTAAACAAGAAATATAATGTTGGTTAAGAGTAGAGCAATGGTATTTGAGAAGGTTTAGACAAGTGTATATCTTCTTCATGTCTTGTTTTCTCCTTTTATAGTTTCTTGATCTAGCCGTTGAGGTCTTTGACAGAGATGGGTAGTGTGTCGGATACCCCAAAAGTAGTTCATTTTGGAGAATCCGACGCGGTGTGGCAACAATTTTGGAGAGTCCGAGCAACACAACCCCCAAGAGAATTGATTCTTGGAAAGATACACTGATGATCTCTTTCTAAGAATAAGTTCAGAGCTTTTTCTTTATGCCATCGTTGTAGTCTTCAAAAAGTCCTTAATAGCTCTAGGGTTTCAGCGAGAAGTATGTGCATACTTGTTTCCATGGAAGACTCCTGATTGTTGCCTTGAGATCTTGAGCATTAATTGGCGCAAAATCTTCCTATTTACTTCTGCTTGCTTGAAATCCTTTCTTTTATCAGATGTTCATTTATTCCTTTCCATACAGCTATATTTGTACATGGCTATTTTACTTGACTTTCTTTAAAAGAGCTTGTATGATAGGCTGCATATAGAAAACACTTGCATTAAATTGTCATCATTAAAACTAAAGCCTAACAGTTGTGAACCACCTAACCCCATAGTTTACACTCACTTTTTCCACATTGAATGTACTGCTGTCTGATGTTTGGGTGTTTAATGGTTAATACTAATTGTCAATTGAGAAAAAAATTAGTTTTATCACATTATGGAGTGCAGTGATATGTCATATTTGGAGAGCTAGAAACTGGAAATTGTTTAGGGGAATTATGGTAAATTAGTGATACAGGTTAAGAAAGAATTTGTAGAGAGATTAGATTTACTTTGGCTGTCTAAGAAATCTTAGAGTTGCAGTAGATTGTTCAGAGAGTCTTTGTGTAACTAGTTGCTTGTTGGAGGCCTAATACTCATAACACCCTTCCTAGGAGGCTGTTGGTGAAGTTTAAGTGCTATTTAGGTGCATTAGTTTTTGTTGGTTAGTGAGAATATTTACGGTTGTTACCAAAAAAAAGTAGTTTATCTTTTGAAACAATGCTTAAATATCTAGAAACTGCATATACTATTCAAGACTATTAATTTGGAAAAGGTACATATATTCGGCACCTTTCCAGAAATCTAAATGCACAATGTAATGATAACACTGTTAATTGATCTGCCTTTAAAGTGTTAATTAGCAGAAAATATGTGATGTTTGGTTTCATATTTTCTGTTTAAAATCTCTAGTATCTCACTTGTGTACACCATTTAAGCTGTGCAGTTCCTCTTGATTCTTGTCGATCTTTTTTAAACAATGGACGAACTTTGTTTGGTTCTTCATAACCATAGAGCAGTGAACTACACTGTACTTTGTTTTTTTTTGTATCAATTATAAGAATAAAATTAACAGTTTTTTTTTTCATAATCATGGTTCTTCTCTCTTGGATGGCTTCTTGATTGCCAGGTGGTTTTACTTTTATAATTGGCAACACACTGTATTAGAATAATGGGAGTGAGTCTGCGATGTTTCACTTTATTACATTTTCTTCAGCATAAAAGGTTCTCCAGCTTCTATATCAGGATTCTTGAGCATACTCTGTGTTGTGCATCTATTTCAAGTTACAAAAGAAAGTGAACGAATTTGATAGTTCA